TTATTTGGTTGTGCAAGACAGAGAGCAGAGCTGAACAGGGGAGGGGCAGAGAGGAGACCTAGAATCACAGGCAGGCTCCAGGCTTTGGGCTGTCATGAAGACCAACAGCTGAGGGCTCAAACCCACGGACCGTGAGATCATGACCTGAGCGAAGTGGATAAGCAACGACTAGGCCGCAGAAGCCCCACCATTTACATGTTTAAAGTTAAGCTTGTTACTAATTTCATAGGACAAGTGTTATTGATTTTCATTACAGATGAGGAAATGGGGTGGAAAGGCTAGTAACTTAATAAAGCTACTTGACACTGGCAAATCAGACTCCAAAGCTCATGCCTTTTCTAATGATCTATGGGCTATTTCTTCAGGGGAGGGAGAATAGAAGCCGGTGAAGATTTAGGCTATAGTTGGACTAAAGGAAGAAAGAGCTATGTCACCGTTGGATTTATGTAGAGTTTACTGTAAAATTGATATCTGCTCTTAGGGTGGAAAATATGGGGAAGAGTGGTTAGATGACTGTGTTAATTTTTGCAGAAACATTGTATAAAATAGGTTAGTGGGAACAGTGCTCTGAATTCTGTTTCTGCTGTGTTCCATAAATCTTGCTTCAGAATTCATAATACAGACTTGCACAGTAGTTACAGTTTTAGTTTTGCTCTCTACAGTTTCAGTTACCCATGTCAACTGCAGTGTAGAAGCAGAGACGATCCTCCTTCTGACATACTGTCAGAAGATCAGCAGTAGCCTAACACTATATCACAGTGCCTGTGTCATTCACATCACTTCATCTGATCATACAGGCATGTTATCATCTCAAGTCATCACAAGAAGAAGGGTGAGTACAGTACAATAAGATATTTTGAGAGAGAGACCACATTCATGTAGCTTTTATGATAGTATACTGTTACAGTTGCTTTATTTTATTATTAGTTATTGTTAATTTCTGACTAGGGCTAATTTACAAATTAAACTTTCTTATTCGTATGTATGTATAGGAAAAAACAATATATATAGGGATCAGTATCTGATTTTAAGCATCCACTGGGGATCTTAGGACGTATGCCTTGCAGATAAGGGGAGTGGGCTGGGGGGGCTACTGTACTCTTTTTTTTTTTTTTTTTTTTTTTTTTTTTTTTTTTTTTTTTTTGCATTTTTATCTTTTTTTATACACAAATAGCAAACTCAGTAAGTAACTTGGCCAGAAGACTTAATTCATTGGGTGTGGTTAAAAGATAAATAATCTAAGAAGTGACCTCCGTAAGTTAACATTTAATGTTCTTTGCCTTTACCCCTGCTTTTTTAAAAGTACTATACTTTGCTTCTATCGGTATTAGAATGAATCATATTTAATTGGGTCAAAAGAGTTGAATATTGGCAATTTCATGTGGTTCAATGTGGTAGTGTATTTTGAAAGGACAAGAAGCAGTAATTGTAACCATTGTTAACACCATTACAAGGATCATGTCTGTTTTATACTTATTAGTGTTATATCCACTGCCAAGCACAGTACACATAGTAGACATTCAATACATAATTTATGAATGAGAAATACAGGATTTTGAGGTTTCATACAGGTTTTGTAAGAAATTTAGGTAAAGATGGGGCCCCTGGGTGGCTCAGTCGATTGGGTGCCTGACTTTGGCTCGGGTCATGATCTCGCCGTCTGTGAGTTCAAGCCCCACGTTGGGCTCTATGCTGACAGCTCAGAGCCTGGAACCTGCTTCAGACTCTGTCCCTCTCTCTCTGCCCCTCCCCCGCTCTCACTGTGTGTCTCAAAAATAAAATAAAAACATAAAAAAAAAATTTAGGTAAAGATTAAGGGAAATTTTCTTCTTGTCAGGCCTTAAGTTCTTTTTAAAAGACTGAAAGAGAAGGAATTTTTAGCAAAGCTCTTTTATTTCTAATGCAAGATAATAATAAATAATAAAATTTTTACTACTCTGGCCTCTTAGCCTTCTGTTAAAGAGGTTCCCCTTCTTCCACCATTTCCATGAACCCAGCAGAGATTTAATACTCCTTGCTTTCCCCCTCCTTTCTTGGGAGGCTTTCCACTGCTTTTGCCTTTCAATTACTCTGCCTCTCCTTTTATAAACTCAAGGTGGTTGACATGAAAAATGCACTGATAACTTCACCTTTCTCATTTGAGGCCAGAGATGCGGCTTTTTTCTATACACTAACAGCTTTTACAAACTATTAAGTATGTAATATGCCCAATCCTCATTTCTGTGTCCAAATAACTTACATAAATTATCTTGTCAGAATGCAACAACAAAAGACTTAGACTATATCATAGTCATCTAATAATAGTTTTCCAGATCCTTATGTTCACAGATGAGAGGTTGTAATAAGGCAGAGGGCTAAGAAGCCTCTTGTTTGGGATTACCCGGGGGCTTTGGCACAAATATGAAGTAAATGTATTTGTCGTGTCATTGTCTAGTATTACTGCTTTGGGCCATTATTTTACCATGTACATTTCTTGCAGTATTGAGTTTCATCCACACAGTGGTGCTAGAAAACCAAGAATTGGTGATTGTTTCCCTCCTAATCAGTGGAATATGTGCTTCTAACTGTTCCTTATGAAATAAATACTTCCTTGGATCATATAATAGCAATTTCCTCAACCTTCATCAAATCCATAACAAAGTTTATAATGATTTTATGGCATAAACCTTGAAAATAAAACACCCGGGGCACCTGGTGGTTTGGTCAGTTAAGTATCCGACTTCCTCTCAGGTCATGAACTCTCAGTTTTTAAGTTCGAGCCCCGTGTTGAGCTCTAAGCTGACAGCTCAGAGCCTGGAACCTGCTTCAGATTCTGTGTCTCCCTCTCTCTCTCTTCCCTTCCCCCACTCATGCTCTGTCTCTGTCTCAAAAATAAATAAACTTTAAAAAAAATTAAAGAAAAAAACCCAAGTTATTTTTTCAGCAGAATGGGTTTATTTGGGATTATTAGAGAATTGTAATTCGGGACATGCAAACTTTGGCAAAACCATCGGCAAGTCCAGCAAACAAAGGAGAAGAATGTTATTTTATGGAGAAGGAGGAGGAAGTTGGGAAGGATTGTTTTGAATGAAAGAAAGTCATTGGAGAACAGCAAAACTACAGGGTAATGTTGATATCTCATTAGCTATGTTACAGGAGTAGTCCCACTTCTTGTAGGAGATGCAGTGTATATCTTTTCCCTGTTGGGGCCTGTAATTGAAGATTCTTCTATTGAATATTCTTCTGTTGTGGTCTGCAATTGCCAGTTCTTCCCATAACTGATGTTGAGTGGTGGGGTTCCCCCTTCTGGCCTCCCTTCTTTCTGTACTTCTAGTGAGATTTCCCTTTATTAATATTCACAGTGGATTTTACCTTGCTTTGCTTTCGTCTGTTATATATTGTACTTATAAGTAATCTTTTATAAATTTGAATCTGAACTTTACTCTTCTGCTTAAAAACTCTTAAATGAATTACATTAAGTTTACCGATAAAGACAAGGTCTTTCATGATCCAATTCCTTCCTAGTTCCCTAGCTGTTTATCTGTAGCCTTTTCTTGTACAGTTCTCCATGGTGCTTTGTAGTTAGCCATCTTTTGTTTCTTGGAACACAAATTTTTCCTCCTGCTTTTGCCTGCTTTTCCTTCTGCCTATGGTAAGGGGTGTGTGTGTGTGTGTGTATAGATATATTTCTTCATAAGTTAACTTTACCTTATATCCTTTCTAGCGTGGGTCATATTTCTGAAAGCTTTCGTTAATTCCCCTCCTCCACAGATCAGTGCCCAGTGTTATGGTACCCAGTAACTTTTTCTTCCAAACATTTATTGCAGTTTCATTATATATTTATTTATGAATTATTTGACTAATGTCCATTTCCTTACTGAATCATGAATGCTGAAGAGGTAGATTCTGTGCTCTTTGCTCATCATTGTGTCATTGGTGCCTATTGAATTATTGCTGAATGAATCAGAATAAATATAAGTCGGCCAGGCCTCAAAGCAGGTAATAGAAGTAGGAACAGATGAACGTTATGGAAAAAAAAGAAAACACTTGAAATTAGAATACAGTAAGTTGAGTTTTATATTAAGGTAAGGTATTGGCCCAGCTTAGTTTACTTTTATATTTTCTGTCAGAGCAGAAACTAATTCTATGTCATGGGCAGCCCTGAGTGGTAAGGGTTCCTATCTGCATGTGAAGGAAGGAAGAGTGAGATTACATTTAGCCGAATAAAATTATGGAAATAGTAAAGAGAGTGGATCTTAAAAGTTCTCATCACAAGAAAAAAATAACTAGGTGACGGATGATGTGTTAAGTAAACTTACTATGCTAATCATTTCACAATATGTTCATATATAAAGTATGTTATGTTATACACTTTAAACTTACACAGTGTAATATGCCAATTATATCACAATAAAGGTGGAGAAAAGTAAAATAAAGTTATAGAAATCGCTTAATGCCCAGTGCAAAACACTGTTCTTCAGGAAGCCTCGTTTCTAGTCCAGGTAGAATATTTTGTTCTGTACTCTTGGGAAAAATTTAATAAAACATTGGAGAAATCACCACTTGTTCTTACATTTATTTCCATAATTATGAAACAAAATAATGAAAACATTCTCTATTTCTTAATGTGTGGTAAAAACAATTAATGAGATATAGAGGTGAAAGCATTTTAAAAACTATAAAAACTCTACATAAAGTGGACTTAATATTTGCCCCAGAGACAGGAAATCCTCCAATTTTAGAATTTCCCCATTCTTTTTATTCATAATTATAAGGAAGAGGTGCCTAAAAGAAAAGATGTTATGGCATGAAAAACCCTATCTCTTATGGCCACTGTCAGGGATCATGCCAATTTGATTCACTGTTTATCCTCTACACACAGTGCCTAGTGGGTGTCTAAAAATTGTTTTAGAATAAATAATATAGTGTATTTGTTCTTAAAGCCTTTGTGATTAGCATTCTGCAGAAAGAAATAATCAAAAGTGAAACCTGTATTTATGTTTATTTTTCTTATATTTCAGCTGTGGCAGAAGTAAAACTTCGAGATGATCAATATACACTGGAACACATGCATGCTTTTGGAATGTATAATTACCTACACAGTGATTCATGGTATCAAGACAGCGTCTACTACATTGATAACCTTGGAAGAGTTATGAATTTAACAGTGATGCTGGTAAGAAAAATACCTGTAATAAGAGGATTTTCCAATAAATCTGATTCTTAATTTTCATTTTTAATCTGATGTCCAGGGGCACCTGGGTGGCTCAGTTGGTTAAGCGTCCGACTTTGGCTCAGGTCAGCTCAGAGCCTGGAGCCTGCTTCTGATTCTGTCTCTCTCTCTCT